GGCAGAACATGAGTGTGGAAGGTCTCAGGGGCTGCTGAGTCCCCCTCACCATTGGCACAGGTTCTTCCTGAAGTGCCACCAAAACAGCCGAGGGCATCTGGCTTGGACCAGCAAGACAGAAAGACACTGAGGGGCTGGAGTGTGTCCAGGGAAGGGAATGGAGCTGGGGAAGGGGCTGGAGCACCGGGAGCAGCTGGGGGAGTCCAGCCTGGAGAAAAGGAGGCTCAGGGGGGACCTTCTCACTCTCTGCATCTCTGACAAGAGGAGGGAGCCAGGAGGGGTCAGGCTCTGCTCCCGGGGAACAAGGGACAGGAGGAGAGGAAACAGCCTCAAGCTGCACTAGGGGAGGGTCAGGTTGGATATTAGGAGGAATTTCTTCAAGGAAAGGATAGTAAAATATTGGAAGGGGCTTGTAGTTCCCACCCCTGGAGGTGTTCAAGGGACAACTGGACATGGCACTCAGTGCTCTGGGCTGGGTGACAAGGTGGTGTTCGGTCAAAGGTTGGACTGGATGGCCTTGGAGGTCTTTTCCAACCTCAGTGATCCTGTGGAATCCAGCCCATGCCCTGGGGGCTGGCTCAGAGCCCCCACCAGCACCCATTGTTGGGAGCTGAAGCAATCGGAGCTGAAGCCTGGCAGGCCCTGCTCCAAGGGCTGTCCCGGGAGGGCCGTTTAGCACCAGGGCTGGACTCCGCTGTCATCATTCCAGAGATGCTTCCAAACACGGCCAAGTGGCGCCACACGAGGTCACTGAGGTCGGGAGGGCACGGAGCCAGCCCGGGCATGGGATTTGTGAATGAGAGTGGTACAGGCAGTGCCAGAGGGAGAGACTGTGCCCCTGGAGAGGGGCTCCCTGAGCCCTTCCCTTGGAGGCAGCCATTCCCTCACAGCCTGGCGCCAGCAGGGAGCAGGGGACTGCTGCTGTCTGACACTGAAGTGGCACTACAGCACATGGCTTCTTTCCCAGCCTCGTTCCAAGAAGGCCCAGTACATCCACTTCTTCCCCACCTTCTGGCTATTAGATGCTTGTCCTTGATTTACTCACTGCCGGAGCAAGGGCTGCTCTGTCTGGGGAGTTCTTGGGGCTGCTCTCTCTGTGTGAAGCAACCTCAGCTGCATTCTGGCTGGGAGCTGGGAGGCAGCAGGACTTGCTGGGACTGTCCCCACATGACAAACGTGTGGTCATGATGCTGCTCATTCCAGCTCAGCACAAGTAACACTCCCACAATGGGTAAAGCATCCTCCAGCTTCCAGAGGGAGGGCGAGGGGGATTTGGGGCGTCTTAGTAGCTGGTTATCCCCATCGAGGGTCTGCCTCATTAGGCAGCCAGCTGACTAGTGACAGGTAACAATGGAAACTCTCCAAATTCCCCAGGGAAGTCTGAGCACCACCTCCTCAGGAAGGAGCTGCCTTTGCCACCTGAGGAACCCAGGACTTGAGTGCCAGCCCATCCGCGTCTGCAGTAAAAAAAAAAAAGAAATCCATAAACCACATTGCCCTTGGAAAATCAGCAGGAAAACACCCATAAACCATATTTCCCTTGAAATACCAGCAGCAGTAGTAGAGGAGAGAAGCCAGAGGAAGGCTGAGCAAACCCTTTCTCTCCTCAAGGGCCATGTGTGAGCTGCTGGCTTGGTGATGCAGGAGCAGGGAGTGGGAGGAGCAGACAATGTTTTCCCAGGCAGAGGAAACTCCCAGGTGGAAATAGTGCTGTGCCCTGGAAACAGAGCTCTCAGCAAACAGGGCAGGGCTGGTGCAGCCTCATCTCATTAGGTGCTGCTGAAGTGGGTACAGGCTCTTTTTAGACCAGAAAAGACAGGACGCTGCTGACCTGGCTGCAGTGCTCTCCCTGAGCCATGAAGTGACAGGAAAGGGGGGAACAGCTTTAAGGTAAAAAGAGTAGAAGTTTACACTGGACATTGGGAAGAAATTCTTCCCTGTGAGGGTGGTGAGGCTGTGGCACAGGTTGCCCAGAGAAGCTGTGGCTGCCCCATCCCTGCAACTGTCCAAGGCCAGGTTGGATGGAGCTTGGAGCAACCTGGTCTAGTGGACAGTGTCTGGGGGTTGGACCAGATGATGTTTAAAAGACTGTTCTGATCCAAGCCATCCTGTGATTCCAAGAACCCTGATCCTGTGTGCACGGGGCAGGCACAGGCAGTCCTGGGAAAGGAAACCCACTAGAGAACCTCAGACCCGTAGGAGCAGCACCCTCAGCTATTCCAGTGTCTCCTCCCAGCCCGGCCATGGACACACCAGAGGAGTAGGGAGGGGCAGGGTGGAAAAGGCAGAGGGAAGCGGCCCCTGAGCTGTGGCCTGTGGAGCCACAGGTGTCTGTGCCACGGTTCGGAGGAGCTCAGCCTCCAACCTGGGCTGCAGTTCTTATATCACTCCTGGTGATGTTGAACATTTGTTCGTTCCAGCTGTAAAACCTCTCCTGGCTCCACACCAGGTATTTCCTCACCTCAGTGCCTCAGCTGGAGCAGAGCTGTTGGAGCGTGTGGAGCTCAGGCACAGTGGCCTTCAGGAGTAATGTGCTCTTTGTCGGGTGACAGCCCCTCTGTGGGCTCCCCCTTCCTGGGGGACTCGCTGACCTCGCAGGTCAGGATGACAGCGGGGAGAAGGATAAAGCTTCCAGTGACTTTCCCTGTGCCTGCAGGATCCCACCCAGGGCCGTTCTGAGGGAGCCTGGACAACCAGCTCCAGCACCTTGGCACAGCTGAGTGGCCCAAAGGAGCTGGTTCACTTTGGGAGAGAACTTCTGGAAAGCTCCAGGAATAAGAAGCACTCAAACCGGTTGCCACAGCTGGGTTGGTGACTGAGCATGAGGATGGATACATGGATGGAGAAGGAGACTGAGCAGGCTCTGCCTGCAGCTCTGTGTACAGCAGGGCTTCAAGTTCAATTATGGAATCATTGAGGTTGGAAAAGCCCTCTGGGATCATGGAGTCCCACTGTTCCCCCAGCACTGCCAAGGCCACCATTAACCCACGTCCCCAAGCGTCACATTAATGTGTGTTTTGAACACCTCCAGGAGTGATGACTCCACCCCTGCCCTGGGCAGCTGTGCCAGGGCTGGACAATCCTTTCTGTGAAGAAATTTTCCCAATATCCAACCTGACCCTCCCCTGGCACAGCTGGAGGTCGTTCCCTCTCCTCCTGTCCCTTGTTCCCTGGGAGCAGAGCCCGACCCCCCCCGGCTCCCCCCTCCTGTCAGGGGGTTGCAGAGCCAGAAGGTCCCCCCTGAGCCTCCTTTTCTCCAGGCTGAGCCCCCCCCAGCTCCCTCAGCCGCTCTGTTTATTTTCCACTCCCAGTGAGCTGATGGTCCCTCAGGATTTAACCACCCCAAGAACCCCCAACAGGGGTTTAGGGATACAAAGAGAGGAAGTCCCTGGAAACTGGTTTTGCTGCCTGGTCTGATCTCTCTGTCCCAGTGCCCCAGGAATGGAATTGTTGGGGGCCCTTTGTGGGGCTGAGGGTGTTTGGGCAGCGAGGGGACACCAGGGTCTGCTCTTGGGGGAACAGAACCATGTCCATGGCTGCTGCTGGAGCTCTCAGAGCCCTTCTCTGCCGGGACCTGCCCATATGGGGCTCATCAACACCAGGATAGGGACGGGACTGGCCCCAGGTGGACATGGAGCCCGGGGCTCTGGGGTTGGAGTGAGGGGGAGGTTGAGGGTGAGGATGAGGGAGAAGATGATGGTGAATATGAGGATGAGGGTGGATCGGGGGTGAGGGTTAGGGAGAGGATGACGGTGAGGATGGGGGTGAGGGTGAGGATACAGACGAGTGTGAAGAGGATGGTGAGGATGGTGAGGGTGACGGGGGTGTCCCGCTCTCCCTTGCCCGTTCCCCGCTCCGGGCAGCGCTGCCCGCGGTGCGGCGGGCGGAGCTGTCCTTCAGCACCACGGCACCTGCCGGCCCGTGCGGGGCCGGGCCCGGGGAGCGGGGCCGCGGCCGCCCTGTCCGACTTTGTGCCCGTGGCCCGTTCCCATATCCATGTCCGTGTCTGTGTCCGTGCCCACGCCCAGGGCCGTGTCCGTGTCTATGCCCGTGTTCCTGCCCGTGTCCATCCCCGTGTCTGTTCCTGTGTCCGTTCCCATGTCCATGTCCATTCTCATGTTCGTTCCCGTGTCCATGCCTGTTCCCATTCCTGCGTCCATGTCCGTTCCCATGTCCATTCCCATGTCTGTTTCCATGTCCGCTCCCATGTCCATTCCCATTCTCGTGCCCATTCCTGTGTCCATGCCACTTTTCATGTCCGTTCCCATTCCCATGTCCGTGCCCATTCTTGTGTCCATTCCTGTGTCTGTTTCCATTCCCGTGTCCATTCCTGGGTCCATTCCTGTGTCCGTGTCCATTCCCATTCCCCTGTCCATTCTTGTTCGCTTGTCTGATCCCGTGTCCATTCCTGTTCCCATATCCATTCCCATTCCCGTGTCCGTTCCCATTCCCATGTCCGTTCCCATTCCCGTGTCCGTTCCCATTCCCATGTCCGTTCCCTTTCCTGTGTCCATTCCCGTTCCCGTGTCCATTCCCATATCCATGCCCATTCCCGTGTCCATGTCCAGTCCCATTCTCATGTCCATTCCCATGT